CGGCGAAGAGCATTCGGTAGTTTTTGATACTCATGCAATTAAATGAGACTCGAGTCGACCACGTCGAGTCGACGAGTCCGATGCCGTGCGCGGAGTCTCATTTAATTGCATGAGTATCAAAAACTACCGAATGCTCTTCGCCGAGTCGACCGGTCCGAGTCGATTCAGTGCGCGTCCTGCTTAAGCCTTCGTTTCTTGTTAAATGAAAGGTTTAATTGAAAAAGATAATTTTTCAACCAAATTTTTGCACGTTTGACACCGAGATATTTGCGTTTGAAGTGTTTTTCGGCCATAAGAGAGGTAACTTTTTTTTTTGAATGATTATAAAAAAATATTCCCTACAAAGACCTAAAATAAATAAGTATTTATGTCTCTATACGGTGGTATCAATATCTCGATTTTGGATGATAGTGCCCTTTTGCGCAATCTAATTTTGTATTACCTCCGGAATAAGGGTAACCTTATCATGAACTTTCATCAGCTTGTGCCGCTGAAGTGGGAGGCAAAGTCAAAATGAGTCTTGATCCACACCATACTAGGTATATTCCGCAATCGAATACCGATATTCGGCGATATAAATGTTACTAGGTTTGACTTCTACTCCTTTGAAAAACGGATATACTTAGTCTGACCGAGCTTCAAATAGGTAGAAAATTGGGAGGTATTGTGCCTATTCCGTCGAACCATTGGGGTCCATTTATGCTAGATGAAAAACCATCCAGCGAAAGGAAAATATAAAAAAGGACACTTAAAAAAAGAACTCCGACTTCCCAAACAGTTTCAGCTGAACTTTCTGTTGAAGTCGAATGCGAATACCTATCTGATTTAGCTACAAAAAGGATTAATAAGTTAGGAATCATAATGCGCCAGGCCCATGCATGAAAACTAATATTTACAGAGGAAAAATTTCTTGTTTAATGTATAATATATAAATATATAAGCAGGAACCAGAACTCGAAAGTAACAACAATTACTCTGAAAAGGCCCCACAGCAAATGATGTTCTAGACAGAAATTCCATCGCTGAAAAGTTTGCCGAGCAGTTTGACCAAGCCTTCACTAATCAGAACCTTACTCTCCCTGTATTACTGATCCATACGAGGGTTGAAATAGCTATTTATATAACAAGTACATAAAGTAAGGCTTTATTGTACGAATAATTTTATGGCCGAGCGAGCTTGCGAGCGAGGCTATTAAATAATGAGTCAATAAAGCCTGTTTATGTAAGCGTTATATATATGATTTTATGTACGATTACGACTGGTTTTCGTTAAAAATTAAAAAAATCTAATGAAAAAAGTAAAATTCGCGTAGGTATACCGGTTTCACCTTGCCAGGTTGTCAGGACCTGTTTAACCTTGTCAGGTAGTCCAGGTAGGCAATAAAGTAGCACTTTATTTTACTAGTACAATAAAGTGCTACTTTATTGACGCAAAACTGTTCTATAAATAGCACTTTATTGGTCAATAGGACATAAAGTTTTTTAAATCTATAACTTTCAATAAAGAAAAAGTCAAAGAAACCCTAAAAACTATGAAAAAGAGTCCAGTCCAGGCTCAGGTGAAGTACCTAAGGTTCGTTTCACCAGGGTTCATACTTGAAACTTGGAAAAAAAGGGTTGTCGTATATTAATTTATATGACACATTAAATTTTTTTGACAAATTAAAATGAATGACTTCTGGTTTAAAAACCGACGAACGTTTTTGACATCATTGATTTGTTTCAGTCAATTTTTATTTGTTAAACAAGGGAGGCAAATGCTGGTGGCAAGTACAAACCCTGGCGAAACAAACTTTACCTACGCTGAGGCAATGCAGGAGTGTTTAACACTTGGAAAAATTTCACAGAAATGAAAAAATCGATAGTGACTCGACTATTCAAGAAGGGTGATAGACATAGACCACAAAACAAGCCTATTGGTCTAACTTGCAATCCTCTGGAATGCCTGGAAAAGATAATCATTGTTAGGAAACTGACGGCGTTTCTCTTTGAAAAAAGTCCCATGCCTCACAACGCGGATTTCTTTCTGACCGTTCTACAACAATAAATTTACTTGAATGTCTTCAAGATTGGACAGACAACCATGATAATTGTCAGCCCACAGATGTGATCTATCTCGATTATGACATCATGATTCGACAAAGTCCCACATAATCTACTTCTAGGAAAGTTGGAATACTGAGTGACAGGTCATCATGAGAGATTTTACCAAGTTACAGTAAATGGTGTGCTGTCAAATCAACATCTTGTTAGTAGCGGAGTTGTCCAGGGTTCGGTCATGGGCCTTTTGTTTTTCACACTATATTTGTTTGATCATGTTAGTCTCATTGAATCTACAATAGAAAACTTCGCAGATGATGGAAAGCTTTATACAAGTCCGCTAGTACGTGCAGGACAGTTAAAAGGGCTGACCTAAAAACTGTTGAAGAATGGGTTGGGGAATGAGTCCAAATGCACAGCCTTAAAAACCGATACAAACAATCCAAGCGAAAAATACGAGCTAAACAATGTGACATAACAATTTGTGACAAATCAAAATGATCTTGAAGCCAAAAAAGCCTATTCTTTTGTATAGACAAGCATTTAAAGAACACTCGATAGAAATGATAGGCAAACTATATAAAAGTAAAATTATAAATACGCTTTCTCAGTGTGGAATCCCTACTATGTCAAAGATATAGAAGTTCTAGAGAAGATACAGACGAGTTACAAAAATACCACCAGAACCACGAGACCTTCCATAAACAGAGAGATTGACTAAAACTAACAACTTTTCAGGAGAGAAGACATAGAGGAGACCTAATCGCAATATGCAAAATAATCAGTATAACTACTATAGTTGCAATATCCAGAGAAATCTCTGTGCACAACCAAAATTATCTTCGTGGGCACTCCAAGAAACTCGAAAAAGAAAAAACCGCAAAACTGCCTAGGAGAAACTTTCTGAGCAACCGAGTTGATAGTACGTCCTGGAAGAAGAAAAACAGATTTTTAAACGCAGCAATAGCTTGATCGGTTGTACCGCCTGCTATTGGACAAATTACATGATATCATGATTAATTTTTATCGAAAGTATATATTATGAACCACTGTATAGTGAGCCATACCTTTCAATACCAAACATGAAAGTGCATTTTACTCCTTTAAAGTTCAATGTGCATAATCAAGTATATATTTTATTATATTTCTTGGAGATAAAGACAGTGTTTTGAGTAGCTGAGACAAATTCCAAATTTTCAAAGGTTTACCGTTTTTATCAGGACGAGAGTGTTACCTACTTACTTATACCGGTATTTAAAAATAAAAGGTTGTAACCTGAAAAATTAGCTTTTTGTTAAATAAAATTTTGAACCAGTCCTCTAGTAGAGAACCGTTTTCTGAAAAAAAAGAATAATAATAATCTAGAGTGAACCAACCATATCTTTTTTATTGTAGCCATGATGGCGACTCAAAAGTTTGAGGTGGAAACTGTGTGGGAAAGAAAATTCAAATTCATTATTTTCGAAAAGGATTCAATTATTAAGGAAAGGGATTGATATTTTTCGTCTAGATATGTGTAGTTTTGCAAATAAAAACCAATCACTTTTTCAATTTTTTGATATTTCAACCTCAAAATTAGGGGTCGTGTAGTAGAAGTGAAAATTGCAAATATTCAATTTTTATAAACTTATCATATACAGGAATCTTTTTGTAGCCTTTCCCATAGGGATTTCAAGTTCTTGAAGCAGAGCATTTTAAAAATGGTTTGAGCCCGTTGAAAAATCCAGAACAGAGAGCGAAATTTAAAAAAATATAATTTGTGGGGATTTTTTTGTGAATATTTTCTAATTTATGCTGTACTTACTGTTAATACGTAGTCTCCCACTTGACTGAATCCAAAAAATAGTTCTATACTGTCTTGAGTGCGAAAAGAAAAACTATCCTGGATCCTGGAACCAGTACTGCACCTTTTCCAATTGTAGTTCAGAAAACGTCGATTGTAATTGAAAATAGAGAAAGCGTTAAATGTAGTTGAGAATATGTAGTTAAATGTTATTCAGATTCGTTAATTGTAATTGAGAAAGCGTCAAATGTAATTGAGAATAGTCAAATGTAATTGAGAATAGTCAAATTTAATTGAGAATGAATTAATTGTAGTCGAGAATAGTCAAATGTAATTGAGAAAGCGTCAAATGTAATTGAGAAAACGTTACATGTAATCTAGAAAGCATCAAAAGAGATTCAGAATAGGTCAAGTGAAATTGAGATCATGAAAATTCGAAAAATTCATATACCTACAAGGTGCCACAATTTGTGGCGTGAGAATTTATGAGAATATCGGATACGGATCATTCAATTAATTTCCACAGTTTCGAATTTTGCATGATATCAATTTCATTTGACCTATTCTGAACATCATTGATGCTTTCTGAAATACAATTAACGCATTCGTGATTACATTTAAAGTTTTCTCAATCACATTTGATGGTTTCTCAATAACATTCGATTATTCTCGATTACAAATAACGCATGCTCAATTATATTTAACTGTATTCTCAATCACATTCAACGTTTTTTCAATAACATTTGACTATTTCCAATTACAATTAACGCATTCTGAATAACATTTGACTATTTTCAATTACATTTGACGGTTTCTGAAATACATCTAACTGCGACATGATAAACGGTCAAATTTTCCATTTTATTCTGCCAAAAGTAATTTGCAACAAATTTCTATTTAGCCACAAGATTTGAATTAAATTGTGCTATAGGTAACCGAAATCCAAATATCCTAAAAACAATCGAGAAATGTCGTACGACACACATCCCTGAAATTATTATTAAACTACCAACACTTCCAGAAATAATGAAATTATGTATTTTAGAAATATTAATTATCTAATAGCTTTTTCCCAACAAGCACTCTCAATCAATAGCAACCATAGCAATTACCTACTCTGTGTTGGAAAAATATTTGCAGCTTTCAGCCAATAATCGAAGCATGTTGCAATGAGAATATCTGAGCAAACCTATCAAAAATAAAACTCAAACTATTAAATTTCATATATGTATTTATTTAATTTAATATTGCACATAATAAATAATTAATTATCAACAAATCAATAATGATATTTTACAATATTTTTTATACATATTTTACAAAAAAAAAAACAACAAAATTTATTGGCAAAAAATACTGATATCGGTACTTACATATCAAATCACATTTATAATAAATTACATCAATTTTTCAACAAAAAAAAATTATAACATAAATCCTCAATCTTTTTTAGCTTCGCTGTCATCCTCGTCTTTATCTTGATGTGCGGTCATATGTCTGGTCAAATGATGTCGCTCCCTAAACGACTCGGCGCACACCGGACATTTGAGTTTTTCCTCCCTACGTCTTTTATTCATATCGCTGGCCTCATTTTTGTGATGCGATCTCATGTGATATACCAAATCTGAAGTCATGCGGAACGTAATGTTGCATTTGGCACAAACATTCTGGCCTGGCAGGGACAGAGCTGCCAGAGATGGTGGCAACAGTGAGGTTAGGATAGCTGCTGCGGGATGCCGGATTTCTGCTGGTGAAACTATTTTGTGTAACTCTTGATTTGGGAATTGGTGATGATAGGTGTAGGCTAGTTCAGGCCGGTACATCATCATTGTGGGTCTTAGTTTTGGAAAGTTTAATTCTGCTTGATTTTTCGTAGCCAGAAAATGATTTTCCATTGCCGCTACTTGTTGTTGTTGCTGATGGTGTTGGAAATTTTCGGGCATAAAATTTGCTTGTTGGTAAATTGATGATTTGAATATGTGGTTTTGGGCCGAAGGGTGATAAGTTCTTGAATTAATAATTGGTGGAGATGGACTTAAAGAGTTTTGATAGCTAATGTCTGGACTTGCAGATAAGCTAGGCGACATGCGAGCATCTTTGGATGATAAATTTACCTTGGTGAAAGCACTTTTTTGATGGTGTTCCATTGGTGGTGATGCTTTGCGTTTAATCAAATTGGTGGGATCATCAAAAATTTGCTGCTTTTGAGTAAAATATTTATTTTGATGGTTCACTTTCACTTCGTTGTCTTCAATATTAATTTCTTCGTCGTCTTCATCGTTGTTGTTGTAGCAAGAGGTGTTTTCAAAATTTTTCAAAATTCTGCTCTGCTTTTGCTTCAATTTTTCGTCGGGCAGCATTAAAAAGGCAACATCAAAAGGTCTTTTCACTGATTTTGTAGTCATTATATTAAGAGTCTCTTCACATTTAACGTCACTTTTAATACTTCTACTTTGCACATCCATTTCACTAATCTAATGCTTAACTTTATTTTGACCGTGTTGTCAGCTCGAATGCGAGACAAGTAATGCGAAAAACCATACAGCCAGCGTCGAAATATTGCCAGCTTTTCTTCCTACCCCTAAAACCAGCTGGAAGCTAGTTTATCCCACCTTTATGTCAGAAAAAGACAAAAGTAATCATTTTCCGAAATGAGTGTAACAGAGAGGGCGAACATACACGTTTTAAAGGAGCGTATTTCCAGACCTTCCTATAGGGGTGAACGTAAGTTTTGGGGTAGCGGACAGACCAATGGAATTTTAGGGACAGGCGTGGCCTAGAAATACGGTGCGTCCAATACGGTTTTCAATGTATGCGGCATTAAAATTTGAAAAGGACGACGAGAGAAACGGGACCGATTCTATCGACAGATTGTGTGACATAAACTGATGGTCTGACCGTTTTTAATGTGTAATTATGACTATTTTTGAATGATAATTATATTTATATGAAAAGCTTATGCTTGGCTCATTTCACATTTCACATAATTTAAAATGAAAATGTGTGCTTCGGCTGTTTAAATAAGGTTTTGAGAATTAGTTGGCATAACCACTATTTATATTCTTATTCCTCTGCTAATTTGATAGTTCAAAGCTTCTCAGAAAATATAGACCAAGACTTTTTCTTTAGATTTTGTCTCCAAAAATTACCAGTTTTTCCTAATTTTGGGTGATTTAACTGGGAAAAAAATAATTCATATTAACCTCCTGGACTCTTCTAAGTTAACCTGGAAAAACCTAAAATTATTAGACTGTCAAAGATGCTGTCAAACTTAGGTATATTAAAATATCCGCCAAGAGGCACACAAACCTTTTCTTTGCTTGTCAAAGTGACGTGTTTTGGATAGGCTGACTATTCAAGGTGCTGTCAAACTTAAATTAAAATGTCCGCCAAGAGGCACACAAACCCTTGTTTGCTTGTCAAAGTCAAGTATTTTGGATAGGCTAATTCACAGTTTGACAAATAACTGACATCTAAAATCATAATACAGGGTGTCCCAGCCGAGAGTGACCCATTTTAAATGCTTATAACTTTTAAACCAGGTGTGCTAGCTACCTGCGGTTTGCGCCGTTCGACTTCTCTTGGCTTAAAGTTTTTTTAAGTATAGGTTGCAAATTTTTTTGCCTCTAATACAGGGCGAGTAAAAAAAAAATCCGTTTTTCAACATCGAAATTCTCCACTATTTTTAATGGAACGCCCTGTATATCACAACGTCCACAAAAAGAATCATGTTTAAGGTATCCATGTACCAATAATCATTATCCTTTAAACTTGAAATTTTAGCCGTAAAAAATTGGAATCGAAATCCTGGTATTTTTGCAAAAGCATCATGAAACTTCATGTTGTAGGTACTTGCTATCACTAGGCATGGCAAATAATTTTGTAAATATCAAAGTTAGAAATCAACTAAGTTGAAATACATTTTCCAAGAGAATTTAGCGAGTTCCAGTGAGAATAGCGAGATACCCCAAAAGTAACAGTCTGATATGCAATCTCTGTTGAGAAAAAAATTCGGACCATTTTTCATTAATGAACCAACGATAATAGGAACTGTATACACCGATATGTTGGGAAATTTATTTTATCTACAATTAAGACGGTAGGGTCTCTTGAAAGATATCTTTTTTTCAGTAGGATGGTGCCTCACCTCATTATTATTAAATAGCAAGGGAATCACTAGATATGACATCTGGGAAAATATAGATAGGGAGAGCTGGTCCTATAGAATGGACACCTTACTCTCCTGACTTGACAGTTCCAGACTTTTTTCTCTGGAATTATGTCAAGGAGAGATCGTGTAATGCTTTGCCAAATAGCCTGGAAAATCTTAAGTGGAACATTCGTAATGTCATTGAAGCGATTCCCCAGGAAATGTTACACAATTTATTCAACCATTTACTGATTCATTAATGCGTGGAACATAATGGCTAACATATACAGCATTTTTTATAGTTTTATGCAGTTTTTATTAACTTTTTAGTAGGCAAACATAATTTCCAAGCTTTATAAATATGCACTCAAAAAAATTACCATTGTCAGGTCAACAATCATATTTAGTTACACATATTATTGTTGCAATACCAGAATACCTATATGGTAATGAAGACTAAAAAAAAATATATTAAATAGTTAGAATAACAATTAAGTTATTGTTGACATTGTTATGTTTGAATCACAAATATGTCATTGCTGAGGTAGGTGACTAAGTATAGATTGTCAAATAAATATATTGTCAATAAAAACATAAAGAACTGCTAAAAACATAATGTTGTGATGGCAATGATAAGCTATATTTGGTTCAATTATATAGAATCTAGTTACCGGAACAATACCGTATAAATGGGATAAATGTATCTGTGTGATTCCGATACCGATACCGGTCAATTACTTTAGCGATATCATTACCGTATATGACCATGTATATTGTGGAATCGGCCTAAGTTCATGTTGCTCTAACAACACGTTTGATTAGGAGTACTATACGTACCCGGGCCTTAGCCTCAGGCGGCGACGCGTGACGGCTGCAAGCAAGCTATTTTAACCTACCACATCAATTCAGTTCCAAAATGGCCAGGAACCAGGAATAGTTTCTCTCTCACGAGTGCGTTCTCTTACTTTTTAACAATTTGATTTTCCTTCTAAAGTCCTTCTATGTATTTTATTTGTGTGTAAACGTACCTTGTGAACTATTAAAGCTCGCTGTAAAGTGATTCTAGACCAAGTAAGTCCAAATATTTTTGTTGATCTATTTTTTATACAGTGTGTCCCGCTTAAGGACTGACCACCCTTCTAAAATTTTTATTTTTCAACCGATTCAATTCACATTTTTTTTGTCTTATAGGTACTCGAATTTGGCACTCATTAGGATCATAATTTTATTTCTGCGGCTGTACTGGTGTACAGGGTGTCCATATTTATAGTATCAAATTTCAATAAGGGATTTTTTTAGAAAAAATCTGATAGCAGATTCTTGTTTAGAATGGTCTGAAACCCAAATGTACAAATTTTTGTTTCAATATGATACAGGGTGATCACAACAAATTTTCAAAATTTGATGGATCAAACCGGAAAAATGTCATATTTTGAGGCCTTGAGGACAACAAAACTTGATATAACATAGTTTTAGAACATCCTTAACCAAAACTTGTAGTAAGCTTGTCTTAAAATATAACATTTTTGTGGTTTGATTCATTAAATTGTGAAAATTTGTTGACATCACCCTGTATCGTATTGACATCAAAATTAGTACATTTGGGTTTTAGACCATTCTAAACAAGAATCTGCTATCAGATTTTTTCTAAAAAAATCCCTAATAGTACTTATTGAAATTTGACCCTATAAATGTGGACACCCTGTTCACCAGTACAGCCGCAAAAGAAAAATTATGAGCCTGATAAGTGCCAAATTCGAGTAACTATAAGACAAAAAAAAATAATGAATTGAATCGGTTAAAATAAAAATTTTAGAAGGGTGGTCAGTCCTTAAGCGGGACACACTGTATATTTACATAATATGCATATTTTTAAGAACAGTGTTGTATAGTAAGAACCGGCCAAGAAGAAGCCATTGATGTCGTCACATACGAAGAAGGGAAATTACCTTTCCTTTATAGGGCCCTCCCATTTCAAGTGATACAAACGATTACGCCTGTGTATTCTAACTATGTCGGTTTTGTATTTATTTGCAAAATAAATTTTTCAAATATTTTGAAATTGTTTTTATTGATCAACAGTAGGTAGGTACCTATTCAAAAAACTTTGATGATTCTAACAAAACACATTGTTAGAAGAGCAATAATTGGCATTAAAAAACAAGTACAAATTATTATTGTTCCAACAAATGATGTGATTGCAGATAATATATTATACTATGGTTAATGGCTAGATTGCAATAGCAACAATATTTTTGTTGTTTTTAAAATATTTATATTTATGAGAAGCATGCAGCTTTGGTAGGGCAAGCAATATAATCTAGTTGCAGAAAACAAAAATATTTGTGAAGGAACAATAACAATTAACAATATACCTATTTATGATACATTTAACTATATGTGTGGTTGTGCCTATATCAACTGTATTATATTGTTGCATTATACATATTTCTGGTTGTGACAGCGAAAATTTGTCTGAGTGTGCTCAAAAAAATATTAGAATTTCGATTTTAATTTTTTACAGTTAAAACTTCAATTTTAAAGGACGATGTTTATTGGTACATGGATACCTTAAACATGACCCTTTTTTTTGACGTTGTGATATACAGGGCGTTCCATTAAAAATAGTGGAGAATTTCGATGTTGAAAAACGGATTTTTTTTTACTCGCCCTGTATAAGAGGCATAAAAATTTGCAACCTACTAAAAAAAAACTTTAGGCCAAGAGAAGTCGAATGGCGCAAACCGCAGGTAGCTAGCACACCTGGTTTAAAAGGTATAAGCATTTAAAATGGGTCACTCTCGGCTGGGACACCCTGTATAGTACGAGCCAATATGATGTTGTCCCAGTTACTTTTCGTGACGATGGTACCTACCTGTTTAGTATAACATCATAACTCATTAAGTGATATTGGGGTAGAAAGGTTAAAAAAAAAGTCCATGGCTCAGAAATAATGTATGTGCATATTACAATGTAGCCCCAGTTGCTTCAGTCACACTAATTGAATGATCACCATATAAATCGTTGAATTAGACGCAGAAGGATTTGTTTGTGGGATTACTGCAGAGATAAATGGTATAAAGCAACTACAAAATCTATATCCACAAAATTTTCCCAAGCGAAAACTGGATTTATAAATTCTTATGAAGCACGATTGAGTTTGTTTTGGCTAATAAGGTTTAAGGTGGAAAGTGAATTGTAAACATTTGGAGCTTTCTGGATTGATATTCATATGACATTGATATTTGTGTTTGAAAATGTTTGAAAAACCTATTGATGGTATCAGTATAGGACTCAATAACTGTATAGGTGAGTTTATCTCCCAACCTTCTGATCACAACCATAA